CAAGGGCAGTGAGCAGCCAGAGACAACACACAGAGGCACTGCAGAGTTCAGATAAAATCACTTGGTTCATAAAGTTCCCTCTGCAGAGATCCGTGCACACTCGGGGTGGGTGTCGAGGACCAGAGACGAATCCAGAGTTCTGAAATGATGACAGAATGTTTATTCAGCTGGACTCCTCTGAAAAGTTCATGGAAATTCCTCAGTAGGAGGGGAGGGAGGGGGTAGAGCATCATGTTTACAAAACTTCCAGGTGGGTTGAGATAAGATCACCTGTCAGCAGTCAGGGAGCCACATTCAGATAAACACGATTGTTTTGGGGACGGACAGAACTTTAATGACTTAATGACATCTACCTTGAGTCTGTGTCGGTCCACTCAGATTTGAAACGTCCAATTTAAATGACCACACCAATGGAACGTGCCTGAGAATAATCCCCGTGCTCTGATTCATTCTGCCAAGAGTCTGGGTGCTCGAGGCACGAACCAAGCTAACATATAAGGCAGACAGCCTGACCAGGTCCAGATTTGCTGTCGATGACTTCCTTGTTTGTTGATAGACCAGGAACCAGTTATCATAAATCAAATTATAAATGTGTCCTTAAAATCCACAGTCGACAGCAGAGATTTTCCCTGTTAGCTGCGTGCTAACAGGGAAAATAGGTTCACCTAAAGCCTGTCTTCTCTTCAAAGAAATGTTGTAAATTATGTTGAGGGACCAACTGATCAAATCCAAGTCCATAGTTATGATTCAGAAGATTTGTAGAAGAGAGGCTCTAAAGCAGTTTCACAGACGGGACAGAGCTAAAGCAAAGTGGAGAGGGAGAGGAGGAGACGTCCGCCCTTGAGAACAAGTGTTGAATGATGATGTTACAACCAACAATAAAATGTAAAAGAAAAACATCAACTAAATATACACTAAGCACTAGTAGCATCCATCAATCATCTTTTAACCGCTTCTTCCATTTTGGGTCACGGGGGTCGCCGGTGCCCATGTCCAGCAATCACTGTGCGAGGAACAGGGGACACCCTGGACAGGTCTTCGGTCCATCGCAGGGACACATAGAGACAAACGAGACAAACGACCATTCACTCTCTCACTCACACCTAGAGACAATTTAGAGTCAACAGTCAGTCTAACATGCATGTTTTTAGTCTGTGGGAGGAAACTGGAGTACCTGGAGAAAACCCACGCATGCACAGAGAGAACATGCAAACTACACCCAGAAAGGCCCCCAGACCGGGATTTGAACCGGGGACCTGTGCGCTGAGAGGCAGCAGCAGCTCTACCAGTTGCACCACCTTGCTGCCCCACTAACAGCATAAAAACTACGTCAAACAGCAGCACGAACATGAGTCTGTGTGAGCAGATGAGCACGCATGAACACAGCAACATGAAACAGATCAGCAACATGATGTGATTTTTTTCACAGTGATTATTCTGGTTAGAGATTCATGAGTCTAACAGCCTCAGGGTAGAAGCCGTTCCTCAGTCTAGTGGTTCTACACTTAATGCTCCTCAACCTCCTTCCTGAGGGGAGCGGGGCAAAAAGTGTGAGTGCTGGGTGAGTGGGGTCCTTCATGATGCAGGTGCCCTCTTCCTGCATCTGGAGGTGTAGATGTCTGTGATGGTGGGGAGACTGACTCCAACATCTTCTGTGCAGCCTTCACCACTCTCTGCAAAGCTTTTCTTTCTGCAGCTGTGCAGCCTCCATTATGGGTAGATGCTGCAGAGAAATTAGACAAACGAGTAATGCCCCAAGGACTCATTCCACAGACATCAAAGATGAAGAAAGCAGTTTCTGTTGGCTCTGGTTTCTTAAATTCTTGCCTTGAGCGTTGTGAAAAAGAATATTTCACATTACTTCAGTTTTATTGCAGCTGTTGTATTTCTCTAGTTTTATATTTATGCTTCTGAGGTGCTACTAAAATAAAAAATAAAGATTTGTTTCTGGAGGATACCTATTGCTCAGATTTCCTGTCAGTAGTAATGTTTTTATAAAAAGGAGATTAGAAACTAAACCATTTTTATTTTCAGATACCGTTACAGGCATTTTTACTAAACTCATTTTGGACCTTCTGAGGTGCAGATCTGTGGGAAGGTTATGAAGAATTCATATCTGTTGTAGATGGCTCCCTGAACAACCTCACTTTGGAGAAATAGTTTAATTCTGACAGAACCAACAAACAAGTATGAAAGAGGCTGACAAACTTTTTCAGTATTTTCTTCAGCTACCAAATAAAAACAATAAAGAGCAAATATGAAACACTGACATCACAGCTTGTCAAGATTTAAACATGAACATTGTGAAGGGTGTGCCCAAATCAGAAAACCTATAAATGTTTTAAAATGCCCACATGCACATTTTATTGCCAGCTGTTATCAGATTTTACAGCTTTAAAGAATAAAGTGTAGTTTCCTCGTGACGATGGACAAAACCATGAAGCTCATATTTCTCTGCTCTCACCTTTTTGACAGGGAAGCGCAGCTTGGAGAGACGTCTTGGGGACCTGAGACTGGCCAGAGTTCGACAGGCCTCAAACCCCAGGATCCCAGAAGAGTTTTTAGCCATCCGCGTGTAGACCACCGGTGAGATTTAAATAAACCTCCTGCCACAACTAAGCAAAATATCAAGATGTAAGTTACAGTTAAGTTTTGGTTTAATCCATCTTTATTTATTTGGTATTGTAGTTTTCACTGGATGTATAGGCATTGAGATATTTATATAGTCTATGTCTAAAAAAAAGTATTTGTCTTTTTTAAATCTCAGGTTTTGATGAATGAGGAGCTCCAGAAACTTTGGCTCATCTCATCTGTTGGTGTGACTGAGAAATGATGGCGTATGTTCAACATGTGGTGTGAAAATGAGAAGAATGAGTCATTTGATTAAAACAAACAAACAAACAAAAAAAAAAAACATGGTAACCCTCAAACATGCCCTATAAAACAACTTCAAGCAAGTGAAGGGCAAATATATTAGCCGAACCTCAAAGACACAATGACACTTTAAAAACATTTCAATGAAAATGAGTGTACAGAAATATGTTCCATTAAAATAAATTTACTCAACACAAAATGTCTGATGAAATTTGAAAACTCGTGCTTTTAATATTTCTTTGACATTAAAACAATTAACAAAAAGCATTGCTGCTGAAATGTACTTTGCACTTTGGCGACATGATTTCCAGAAGAAACCTCCAGCAGAACTAGGCTCAGGATAATATTTTCATATTTTAAACTGAGAAGACGGAGCTTTGAGAGGGGATGAAGGAGGCCATCTATGTAAATGAAGAGAAACCAACTTTAAACAGAGAAGCTTTCAGAAACCTATAATGAAGCATTAGGCCTGATACCCAGTCAGTTTCACTCCAATCAAAACCTTCTTGTGTCCAGAGCGGCCCATCTGTGAGTCGGGCTAAGACCCAGTGAACTGACGAGAGAGAGGGCAATCTGCAAATAAACACCTCAACTTTAAAACTCAAACTCCACACTCTGCGTTTTTAATTGAGAAGCGAAACATCTTCACCCACAGAACTGAAATCCAGTTGTTTTTGTCTTTAACCTTTTTTGGATTTACCATGACTACACCAGCGTGTTGAGAGGACAAGAACGATATAAACAAGTGGTCCAGGTGTAGTTTTTATGGAAACTGCACTTGTAAAATCACAGGTTAATGACTGAAACACTTGCATGTAAAAATATGTAGTAGAGGAATTAAAAACAGTAAAGGCTGGTACATTTGTAAATCTGCACCAGCTTAACAGAAGCATACTTCAAGAAGTAAACTTTAGATTTATCAAAAAGGAAAGTCCAGTCTTTAAAGTAGGCAGGACGTCAGCTTTACAGTCGTAATTTTAATTCATGTATTTATTTTGCATTATGCATATTTCTCGCGTCATTAGGATACGTTTTAGATAAGAAACTGCATTATCCTATAGTAGTAATCTTCTTATAAATATTGACATTTTTAATTACAAACCGGATTCCAAAAAAGTTGGGACACTAATCAAATTGTGAATAAAAACTGAATGCAATGATGTGGAGATGGCAAATGTCAATATTTTATTCGTAATAGATGACAGATCAAAAGTTTAATCTGAGTAAATGTAACATTTTAAAGGAAAAATATGTTGATTCCAAATTTCACAGTGTCAACAAATCCAAAAAAAGTTGGGACAAGTAGCAATAAGTGGCTGGAAAAAAGAAATTGAGCATATAATGAACAGCTGGAAGACCAATTAACACTAATTAGGTCAATTGACAACATGATTGGGTATAAAAAGAGCTTCTCAGAGTGTCTCCGTCTCAGAAGCCAAGATGGTAAGAGGATCACCAATTCCACCATTGTTGTGCAGAAAGATAGTGCAGCAATATCAGAATGGTGTTACCCAGCGTAAAATGGCAAAGACTTTTAAGTTATCATCATCAACCGTGCATAATATCATCAAAAGATTCAGAGAATCTGGAACAATCGCTGTGCGTAAGGGTCAAGGCCGTAAAACTCTACTGGATGCTCGTGATCTCCGGGCCCTTAAACGTCACTGCACCTCAAACAGGAATGCCACTGTCAAGGAAATAACAGAATGGGCTCAGGAATACTTCCAGAAAACATTGTCAGTGAACACAATCCACCGTGCCATCCGCCGTTGCCAGCTGAAACTCTACAGTGCAAAGAGGAAGCCATTTCTAAGCAAGCTCCACAAGCTCAGATGTTTGCACTGGGCCAGGTGTCATTTAAAATGGAGTGTGGCAAAATGGAAGACTGTTCTGTGGTCA